GAACAGAAGGATGGCTCATGCGGCTATTGTACGTAGCACTGTCGTCCCCGGTCTCCTTGCATCGACACTCGATAAGCTTCGCTGCTACCCCTCATGACACTAATACTGGAAAGCGGAGGTGAAAGTGTAGAATGTTGCGTCAGGCTGACGGCGAGGGCATCCGGGGGTCCAATGAAGCCGAAATCAACAAGAACTTTTTATCAGTAGCGGTCGGGGATCTGCACGCACTTTTTTCTTACTGTTTGTGCTCAGATCCCGTCGCCCGCCTGCAACTATACACATTATTGCTAGGCTGTAAGTACAACCATAAGAAAGCCCCCGGTCCATCAAGTCGAGACATTGGTTGGGGGCCATCAGCCTTTCCAAGAAGAGAAAGGAAAGTGTGAAAAACGATCCCTATTGGGTCTAGAGCAGAAATGTGCCTCATCTCATCGCCGCCAAATTTCGGGCCGTTGAATGATAAACATCGTAAAGCAGACAGCGTTGTCATATCTTCATAGTGTGACATCTTAGTCAGGTTGGTTTTGATCAGGCCGGGCCCTGTGTGACTTGACGATGCGCGCTGCCTGCAACTTGGGAGGAACGTCCTAAGCAATATCAAATTCATACCATGCCGTAAAGAGGTGCAGGAGTAAGGAAGTGACAGAGTCAAAGCCGGAAAAAGGCCATTGTTACCCTGTTAAGCTCTTAGCGGAGACCTGCAGGGTCACAACCAACAGCCGGCCGTCATGTAAGCGCGAGGCACGCCCGGAGGCCGTCCGCGCTCTGACAATACCAGAGGTTACAGGGACGGGAAGGCAGCAGCATAAAATCTCGAGAAAACTATAGACATGCTCAGTGTTTAGGGCAAAGTCCTGAAGGTAGTGACTTTATCACGCAAGGAGGCGGCTGAATGAATTGGTAGGTATTGCGAAAACAGACCCGACCGAGCGGTTTGGGTCTCAGAAGCGTTGGTACAAACTTGTAAGGGGTTGGCGAAGGATTCGTCAACTCGGGAACGCCCAGGTTAATACATATAATGAGCATCTTGGTGTTCCAGGAAGAAGGGAGTGGGTGTGTTATGCGGACGCGTGCGGACCAGCATGTTGGTCGGTTTGTCATGTTTTCCATGCCGCTAATTCGGCGCAAGTTCCTTTTTTTAGGTAATGGCTTGTTACCGACAATCAGGCAGGACTTATTACAATGTGACAAGTCGCGAGCTTGACCACGCAGCCACGTTGTTCAAGAGCGAAGAAAAGCTGCTAATGTAAGTATTAAGCGACCGTGTACACGCCTAGGTATACAAGTAGTACATGTAGTATTACATGTAGACAATATGTAAGTAATGAGTGCATGTGGGTAGCACAAGGGTGCGCGGGTGCGTGGGTGTTGGTGCGTCGCTATGAATAATGTTGGTTGATGGATAATTGAAGTATGCAAATGTCCTCGTGGCTGGTGTTGGTAAAGGAGATGCCATCTAACGCCGGCATTGGATATTCATCAAGGTTGGGAGAAGGACTTATTGAGGTTGCCCGAGTTTAGGGCACGAATACCACATGGGTTGGACCTACCTTAGACTTCCATTGAAAGATCCATATTGGTACTTCCACGCTTTGTACCACGCTGGCCTTCAGGAAGCGGTACATCCCCGTATGTACCTAGGCACAGTCAAGTCGACGGTTCAGGTAATCGTAACTAATCCATCCATGGATACCTAAGGTATCTGTCACGGCGGTCACCTGATCTGTTCGCGCTAAACTCAATGGCTTTCCTAGCGCCCATAGCTTAGTGGCCGTGCTACCTTGGCAGCTTACCTATAGGTACCTGGCCTACCTGGGCATGGTCGTGACTTCAGGCCGACCTAAACATAAACATTGAGCTGTCTTTGAGCCTCATGTTCATCAATTTAAATCGACGTATGCCATTGCTGGGATCCTACGTTATCTCCTTATTCCTCTTTTCCAAGTGTAAAGTTATCACAGGTGAGAAGTTCTAAAAAAGACCCCAGACCGCTTCAGGATCCCTCTCAAATTGGAAACAGTCAACTAGCTCTCTCCCGTCCAATGACAGGCAGTCTCCAATAGCCGCCCACAATGTCGTTTAAGCGCCCTGGCATCGCAGTGTTCGAGAAGGTTTCCTTGACGCATGCGCGTAATTGAACGTCATGGTATCACTTCTCTGCATGCCGCGAACGTCTTTCTGCCACTCGGGCGTTTAAACCTATTTTTATCCTGCATCACTTGCAGGATATCTACCCGTCCTACCACTCTGCCGCTATCATGATCCTTCCTGCAAGGCACCAAGGCGGCACTACGACACTACCGCCGTCTGGTTGGGTACCTTTGTCTGGGGAAAGCTAGATAGACGGCGTTTCGCCGCCATCCATGGATGCATGCAAGCCGTACCCTCATAGCGGTACGCGGTACCCACTAGGGAGTGCGCCTGGATAGCGTCATCCTCTATGTTCGCCAGCTTCCAGAAGCGCCCACGAGCCGTCGATCTAAACTTAACCCGCAGTCTGGTCTTTGTCGAGGTCGTTCGCGGCAACCAGATCCTTGGAGGGCTTACCTAGGTACCCCCCCACCAGGTACTACGAAGCTGGCGTGCTGTGAGTGAGACTATCAACTGCTAGACGGTACATGCACGTGTCTCTGTCGTTATCACATTGCCCCTATTGGTGGTGTACCTGAGGGTACGGGGGGAGCGTCTAGCCCTATGACCCCAACAGTCTTCAGATGGTTCCTGAACTCCCTTGCGACCCAACCCCAGTTACCGTTCATGACGTACCTGACTCAGGAATTTTGGTACCACGAAGATCTACTAGGGTACTTATTTTTAGGGGGTTACTAAATTAAGATATAGCCTCAATCTGCAGCCGCTCGCGAACTGCAAGTGTTAATTTAAACGTCACCTCCTGAAATGATACTCCGAAGTTTCTTAGTTATCATCATATAGCAACGCAAAGATGATTGCCTTGAGCTATAATCCCCCTAAGCGCGCTCAGCCGAAGATTCTGTAATTATAATCTACCGCTAAGACTCCTGCCCTTTACTCATCGGTCCGTTTCCCAACCAATAGAAGCACCCTATCCAGACTTTAGATCCGTGATGTTTCAGATTGCGTTTCCCCTTTTCACGTTGCCACCTTGCCGCGGTTGGAGACATCGCACAACAGACCTCACATTAGTCAGTATGGAGAAGGTCACATCGTTACCCAGTAAATTACAAAGGGAGTATGTCACCACTGACTTGCGGTGAGATAACCTTGCAAGTGCGTTATAAACTGGATATGAGTCATATTCGGCGTTACGCGAATAACGGACTTGGTGGATCTTCCAGCAACGCCATGAGCTTCCACCGCGAACCCAGCAGGTTATCGTCAAGCCCTTGCGCGCCGTAGAAGATCAGTCTAGTTATGGGGCCGATGAGGCCTCTATGCTTATGCAATCCCCGTCAGCTGACGATTGTACCTCGGAGTAGTTTCCTAAACTTGAGGGTATCACCAGACTCAGTCTTTTTAGGGACATTGGATGACTCCATACAGAGAATGGCAATAGACGCCTTCAACCTCCTATTACCCTCAAGGAAATTACAAGGAGCAGATTGAGTAACATTACCAGTTATTTTGGCTATCCTGGGCCAGAATGCTGTTGCCTTCGATGGCTGACCCCTATTATTGGCATCGTAGCTTCGATGCTACATGATATCACATACGAGAAGTTGTCGACAAGTTCCCACCCCCCAAATCCTGATTGTATGCCTTACCATCATTAAAAGTGCTTCTGGAGACTCGGACCGAGCTTCGCCTCCCACCTTATATCAGGTAATCTTACACTCCCGGGCTCTCCAGTATCAAGAAATAGAAACTTGAGACATACGATACGACGGCACAGCTATACTAGACATCATCGTCACTTCGTAAGCGTCTCGAGTCCCGGTAAGACTACTCGTCGAAGCTATCACTTCTCATCGTCGATAGCCAACTGCCTGCCAACATCTACGCAGCTTCATAGCTGAGGAGCATCTCAAATGTTACTTCAACAGCCATCTATGCTGTCAGCACACAAGATGCTCAGGTTTTGACATTTCATATGTTCTCGCCGCTCCGTGCTTTAATCCCTCATAGCATATGCTGAGCTCGTATATATGAGGTGGAAATCTAACATTACGCAAACAGAAACTAGGTAGGTATGATATATCCTCGGTGTAACAGATAATGAAAGAGATGTAAGCTATATTTCTAAAATAATTACTGACAACAGAGCTCAAAAACTGATAAATAGGTACATTGAAATGACAGTGGCCTGGTTCTACGAAGCTTGTTGAAGGCGGAATCATTTCGTAGTCCGTTGTTCATTGCTCTTATATAGCAATCATTCCTAAGCGCTACTTCTGATATAGCTTACCTTATTGTTATCGGATTTGCCTGCCCCAAGAGTTACACTAAATTAACTCCTGGATATTATCAAATGATGTTGTCACTCAAGTTCGGCAATGGATCTAGTCACTCATATATATAGCAGCGTTCCTAACACCGGATATAGCGATTATTAAGCTTCAGCTGTTCATCAATAAGCGTACCTACCTATGCAAGCAATATTTAGGGTCGAGGGTTTAGGGAATTCGTCCATTCCCTTGGCAATGTTGTCTATACCAGATGTCTTTGCTGTCGTGTTTAGTGGAAAGACGTCACAGGAACCGCAGTAGTCGAAAAACCATGAGGTCATCACCATAGGAAGCAATTCTAACCCGGTCATTTCGAGACAATCGTCGAATTCGGTCTTGGCTCCAGAGTACTCTTCATGTGATACACTATACGTTGGATAACATTTGCCACTTGGAGCATCGCAACAGAAATACTGGTTTCTTGGCTAGGGCGATTTAGATTGTTTGGACTGTCTTATGTATACGTGTGGGTATACTAAGAGTGAAGTCCTGAGTTTTCCAACTACTAGTAGTATCCACTTACTATAGCTATAAGAGTCTAGTTTAGAGCAAACAAAACTCATCTAAGAACAACTCGGGTTCGTGGCCTAATGGTAAGGCGTCAGATTTCGGCTTGACTAGTTTCAAATACCGGTCCTCTGAAGATTGCAGGTTCGATCCCTGCCGAGCTCGGCGAAGTAAACACTTCATATCTTCTTTTTGTCTCTTTTTCGAGTATATGAATTTTTTTTTGTGGGTGATAATGAGAATACAGTTTGAATAGAAGAAAAGAACTGTGTTAACACATATTTAACACGCGACCAATCAAGGTCTTCTAGGAAAGCGGCTGCAAGTTGCACATTAGGCAAAAAGACTTTCTATACTCATAGCGACACGGTCATGTTGGAAGGTTTGAAGTGTGTCACTCTTGATCTGCGACCTGAAGCATATTTTTCAGATTGCACATTTCTAGACTCCTCATACAGCTGCATAAAGACGTAATATAGAGGCTTGGTGTGGTCGAAAATGGCCACGGGAATCTAACACACATTCCTGGGTAAAATAGGAGACCAACTCTTGACTTGTCGAACATGGACTCCAATATGACGATTCGCATGATCTATAAGCTGTCACGGATGGGAAAATGCTGGTTCAAAGTGTCTTAATCACTTCAAAATAACTTGATTTGCGGTAAACTCAACTAGGTAGAGTATCTAGAGTGACAAGAGCAACTGCATAAACATCCATTGTGGTCAATACCCATGAATTGGGACTCATTACACTGTCGATACAGCAGAAGGTAAACTATTACCCTACCTAAGTAGTTACGTAGAGTGCGCTGGTATGGACATTCCAGCTGCCTTAATCCGAGAGGATATAACGGCCTGATGTTCGAAGAGGCGGTACTCGCATGCCACCTTCTAGACTACACCATGCATGACAAATATAGGCCGGTTATTCGCCGCTGCGACCCCTTGAAAAATTTCCGAGTAGCTTCGCAGTCTTCTCTAAAACCGTGACTGGTTGCAGCTGTCCGGCCAATAGTATTCCTCCCGGAGATGCCGGGGCCAGCAAATTCGGATCGAAGGACGGGATGTGGTAGGGAGAAAGCCCTAGTTGGAATGGATACTACCAGGTGGGATTTCCAACTACCGTGATTTGTTCGGACCTAGGTTCTCTTAACTCGGTCTGCATGTCGACCCTAGTAAGCTACAGGAGGAAATGCACGATGCAGAAGGAGACAGCGTTGTGCTGTGTTATGCTATATGAGTCAAAACTAGATACCAGGCCTGAAAGATGTAGGTAAAACTGTCGCCTCTACTTTGCTTTAAATCCCCTCATAAGAAATGAGATTTCATTTTCGGCGTAGTTTGAACTGCAGGTCCGAAATTGTTGAACGTGGATAGTCGAGTACGGACCCCTCGTGTTCGAATTCCGCTTCCAGAAGTAGAGACTGCAGCTGTTCGATAGAGGTAAGAGATACTCTGATACTCTGATACCCTTTCTGGAGATCCCTAAGCCATGTCTTGACTGTATATCTGCGAAGAAATTAATTGGATTTTTAGTCGGTTAAGTGGCCGCATAAACAAGACGCAGGTTTGCTAAGTTTGGTAGAAATTGAATTCCAAATTCATTGCCATACGTTTGAAAAGAACCACGAAAGGAAAAGGATTGGTTCGGAGTGTTTCGAGGTTGACCAATGGCGCTCTGAATTAGAGGTGGGGTAATTGTGGTTTGGTTTATAAACAAAGATGGAAGTCACGTTATCAACAAGCACTTGGAAAAGCAAGGGATTCGAGATGGTTCCTGCCTAGCTGGTTTGATGGTCTAGTGGTATGATTCTCGCTTAGGGAAAACCTATGCAAATATGCGAGAGGTCCCGGGTTCAATCCCCGGTCAAACCCCAACTTTTGCTGGTTTCGTATATGAAATCAACCTTTTCTCACTTGCTATTTTTATTATATCTCTGTTGGGGTGTGGATGGCCACGACGGGTTTCATATACTTTCTAGGTGAAGCCTATCGAACGAGTTTGTTCGTCTTTTCTCCCAACACTGCTCGTTTCTCAACTCCGTTTGTCCCCCCTCAATCCTTACTAAGAACACAGCTAAGAATTTCCATTGGCCAGGTGGTGGAGATGGCATTTTTCCATTAGCGCTGTCTTTTCAACCAATCAAAGCCTCTTAAAATGCAATCAATTAATTTTCTCGGGTCGCTTCGGTTTAATCCATATCTGGCACCTGTTAATTCCATAAAGCAATATCACCCGGGCATAAATTTGATTCCATTAGGAAATCCCTCCAGCCGTAAGCAAGTCCTAAACGGGGAAATGCTTGGAGAATGCCAAGATTGCCTAGGTAAAGGTTGACGCTAAATCAGCTAATGTAGGGAAGCCGCAACGCAACGGAGTTTCCAAGTCCCTCCCGGATATACGGATACCCTGTTTCCGACAGCACCGTGGAAAACAACTCCCACCTTGAAAGAAGGTTAAGCCCTTTGTGTGGTATTTGCCAGTGTTGCGATTTCTTGATTTTGATTTTCTTCGTACTACCGGACTTCTTCTCCATCAGGGGTACTCATTCTCAGACCAGAACAGCGCTATCGCCATCGCGTCGTGGGGAAGTATTCCCTGCCTCGTTTGACCTCGCCGAGGCTTGAGCTGAGGTTTTATTTCCGACCCATTCAATCAAAATCCCATCTGTTGTTAGTCTCCAGATCCTAACCGGGCACGATGGACTCTCGGCCCGGCAGCTTCCAGACAAGTGTCTTTCGCGCACAGCCGACCGAAGGAGTTCAACGCAAGATACAAAAGCGCAATCGTCCTCCCGTGTCTTGTCTACTATGTCGGACGCGCAAGTGAGTCGTCCCTAGTCTCCCCACGTCACTGCGCCCGCCTCTTATCTTCTTATAGAGTGAAATGCGACCGCCAACAGCCATGTGAGAGATGCGTCAAAAGTGGCGAGGCCAACTTCTGCGAGTATGCACCTCGTGCTTCTCGCAAGGCGCGCACGGATTCGCGCCCACAAGTGGATACCCGATCGAGACATGAACCCATGTCTCGTCCCGTCCTCCAAGTTCGTCTTCAGAAACTTGAGGAGATGGTTAACGGCCTAGTGTATACCACACGTAACAGGGAGCCCGCTCTAGGTACACCCTCGAGCTCAGATCAGCGCACAGAAACTACTGAGACTCGATCCGACTTGAGCTCACCACCAAGCCTGGCGCCTTCAGGAGGGCCTCTTCTGCCTACCACGCTTGGTGAGCATAACTATGTCGGCGCTACTCATTGGGCCTCAATCCTTGAGAGTATACACGACATTCAGGGGATTCTTCAGAATGAGACAGACGGGCCTCCTACTCCCTCGCCGCCACCACAGAAAACGACCCCGGACAGCGCAGATGTCGTCTTTGGCAAGCTGCCGCCGATAACTCTATCCCAGGCTGTTGCGAGATTACCACCTAAGACTAAGTCGGACGCGCTCATATTAGTCTACTTCCGCCACAAGTTCATGACGGCTCCTTACATTCACACTACGAAGTTTCAAAGAGAGTATGATGCTTTCTGGGATGACCCGTCCTCTGCTAGCCTACTATGGATTAGCTGCCTTGCTTCTATGTTATGGGTCGCCGCATCAATCTCTATTATGAAAGGGGAATGCGACGAATCAGAGGCGAACTTACCCGACAAACTGGTCGCGCTATCAACTGAATGCCTTGTATCGGGAGACTATCTATCCGCCAAGCCCTATTCCATCGAAGCACTTCTCTTGCACAGTTACACGGAGTTACAAAGAAATAGGGAGATTGACTCCAGCCTGTGGGCCAAATTTGGACTCGTCGCCCGACTTGCGCAACGCATGGGATATCACAGAGATCCAAAATATCTCTCTAATATCACACCTTTCGAAGGTGAACTTCGTAGACGCGCCTTCTTCTTCATCGAGGTATTCGATGTCCTTTTTTCCTTCCAGCTAGGCATGCCCCCGATCATCCGTGACGACGAATGTGATACCGAGTCTCCTAGCAATCTATTTGATTCCGACTTTGACGAGAATGTTATGGCACTACCCCCATCGCGGCCGGCTACTGAGCCTACCTCTACTCTTTACTTGAGCTACAAATCGAAGCTATGTCGACTCCTACGTCGTGTGATTCGATTTGCACTCTCGATACAGCCTCCGCCTTACGATGAAGTTCTCAAGCTGGACGATGAAATCCACCAGTATCACGCCCAGGTGCCGCCGTCATTACAAATTAGACCAATCCGTTCGTATAGCTTCACGGACCAGACCTACGACATTATGCATCGTCTTATGTTAGAGATGATGTATCTCAAAAGTCTCTGTGTACTTCACCGACCATATCTCAATCGTGAGAAGGACAACCCCAGATATGATAGGTCACGGAATACCTGTCGGGATGCGGCTCTTCGGATTCTAGATTTACACGCCGAATACGAGGAGGAGAGCAGGCCAGGCGGTCGAATATACGAGGATAAATACATGCTCTCAGCTTTGACGCTCCATGACTTTTTAATTGCGGCGATGATCTTGTGTCTCGATCTTACGGAAAACTTACCAAGCAGGTATGTACAAATGAGATACTGCTGTGATCTCTAACTAACATCATTACAGCCAAGCGGATCGGACGAGGAAACTAAAGGCTCTCGGGACGTCTTACAAGATGTGGTCCGAGAGGAAGCACACCTCTAAGGACGCAGCACATGCTACTCGGGTTGTTGGTGCTATCCTTCGGAAAGTCTCATTGCAAGATCCGGCTGCTAAACGCTCACCGCCGCCTCCGAAGCCTGAAGTCCGAGACGGCTCACTTGCTAGCTTACTGAACAATGACGTTCAGCCAGCCCCCCTCACACCATCTACCTCATTCGAAGCTGTGATACCCCCTGCCGATTTCAATTTAGATTTTATCAACAGTTTACCACTCGATGCTATGTTAAATGGCCAAAACACGGTTGATTGGGTAAGTGTTCTTGTCTCAATGTGTCAGCTAAGGTGGTGTGCTGACTAGTTGACAGAGTGCAATCGATCAATTCCTCCTGGACCGGCCAGACAGCGGATTTAGAGCCGTAGCTTAGCGATTGGGGTGCTAAGAATGTTACACTTTGCTATCTAATCCTATTTGATACCGGACGAGACTTAGAGTTCTGTTCGGCGACGGAACTTCGGACTGTAT